AGCAAGGACCAGCAAATTCTCTCATCATTCAAGCAACTCTAGGCAACAGTTCTCTGCCTTTCAGACTTGTCTTTGTTCTTTTCTAAAGGTGAAGCCCAAGATCATGGAATGTTCCCATCTGCTACTTTTTGGGAGAGACATGACAGTGTCTAGCCACCCCCCACCCCCACCAGGCCCCTGTCCTGTATCACCGCTGTTTGGTCCTGGGTGAAGGTAAAGATGTCTGCTGAGTAGGCTTCTATAAGGGCTGGATTTGTGGCTGCCACTGTAATGGCAGAAATTTGGAAGCCATCCAAGCTATGTCACTTGCACCTGACCCCAAGAGGAGCCAGGTAGCTTACCCTGGTACCGCCCTGTCCCCTCACTCGCCAGCCAGTGAGGACCTGATGGTAGACATTGATGAAGCTACTTTGGAAGATACTTAGACAGATGATGTTTAGCCCACAGAGCAGTCTATCTTGGCCTCCTGTTTTGTGTGTGTGTGTGTGTGTGTGTGTGTGTGTGTGTGATAAGTACATTCCTCTTTGGGACAAAGTTTGGGGTTGTCAGGGGAGGACAACAATGATGTAGGGCAAGAGAGAAACCAAGGGAAGGTGTCAGCTTCACAAAAGCCCAGCTGCTTTCCTGGGCTGAACTTATAGATGTTTTGCCAAACATTTTGGATTTTGCTGCTGAGGAAGGGGTGAGGGGCAGGGAGGAGGGGAGTTGGTATCAAGAGGGATTTTTTTCCTCAGGCCTTGGCTCCAGCATCACACAGGGCCTCTGGATTTGGGAATTCGGCCTGCTTGTTACTGTCTGTGGTCAAACAGTTGGCTCACTTAGTGGTAAAGCTGGAACACACCATGCTGAGCTGGGTTTAAGTCAAAGGGAATTTTCCAGACTTCAAATTCAAGAAACGCAGCCAAGAGGCAGGGCAGAGGGATTAAGACACTGGGCTCTGAAGTTGGACAGGTTTTGGTTTAAATTCTGCCTTTGCATTTATCTTCTGGCTTTGGGAAGTTGGTTTAGTTATTTAAATGATAGTTTCTTCATCTGTGAAATTGGGATAATACCTTTGCTACCATAGGGTTGTTCTGAGGGTTAAATGAAATGATATGTGTAAGCTCTTAGCACGGTGCCTGTACATAGGAGGCACTCAGTATTAGCAAATAAAATAAAGTAAAATAAAACTAGCAAAGCAACGCAAGTGTAGGCAGAGCAGTGTTGCTAACACAGACCCTGATCTCTCACATTGCTGAGCAGTGATTCTTTACCCTAGACATTGTGGCATTTGGCTATGATTTTTATTTAACATTTTACAAAATTCTATTTTCTGTTTTCTTTTCTTTCCTTTTTTATTTCAGCATATTATGGGGGTACAAATGTTTAGGTTACGTATATTGCCCTTGCCCCACTCTAGTCAGAGCTTCAAGTATGTCCATCCCCCAGATGGTGCCCACCGCACCCATTATGTGTGTATATACCCATCCCCTTCTCCCCTCTCCCATCTGCCCAACACTCGATGAATGTTATTACTATATAGGCACTTAAGTGTTGATCAGTTAAAACCAATTTGATGGTGAGTACATGTGGTGCTTGTTTTTCCATTCTTGAGATACTTCACTTAATAGAATGGGCTCCAGCTCTATCCAGGATAATACAAGAGGTGCTATATCGCCATTGTTTTTTGTGGCTGAGTAGAACTCCATGGTATACATATAACACATTTTATTAATGCACTCATGTATTGATGGGCACTTGGGTTGTTTCCACATCTTTGCAATTGTAAATTGTGCTGCTATGAACATTCGAGTTCAGATGTCTTTTTTATAGAATGTCTTTTGTTCTTTTGGGTAGATGCCCAGTAATGAGATTGCTTGGTCAAATGGTAGTTCTACTTGTAACTCTTTGAAGTATCTCAGTATTACTTTCCACAGACGTTGTACTAATTTGCAGTCCCACTAGCAGTGTATGAGTGTTCCTATCTCTCCACATTCATGCCAACATTAACTGTTTTGGGATTTTTTGATAAAGGCCATTCTCACTGGAGATAAGTGATATCTCATTGTGGTTTTGATTTTCATTTTCCTGATGATTAGAGTTGTCGAGCATTTTTTCATATGTTTGTTGGCCATTAGTCTATCTTCTTTTGAAAATAGGGTTGTTTTATTTTTTCTTACTGATTTTCCTGTTTTCTAAAGCAATTATTTTTGGTATGCATGGCCTAGTTGCCCAATTAGACTGATTTTCTGGAAAGTGGATCTTATTCTTCATTTGTGGCCCACTATGTGTGGCAAACACTGGCTGTATCTAACAGAAATAAATCAAGCAGAGGTCAGCAATAAATTTTTGTGTTTGTAAGAAGTAACCAGAGTGCAAAGATGAGTTTCTGTTGCTTTGAGGTATTTGTTTACTCCAAGGCAGCATGAGCAGGGGATGAGAGTTTGACTCAAGTTCTGGTCAGGCCTCTCTGCCCTCCAGCATGCCTGGAAAATGTAACTGCTAGGTAAAGTCACTAATGTCAAAGTAAGTGACAAAGAGAGGCCCTCTTTAAAAAAAGAAATACCTTACTCTGGAATAGGGCATTGCAGTGGGAATAAATATGCCATGGTAAACTATGTGGGTATTCACGGAGGTAAAAGAAGATAAAGATTTTTATAGAAAAAATGAGGAGGAGTACATAATTATTTTGAAATGATTACTCTTGGCTACCAAGACCAATAACAAGGGTGACACCAATTCTAGCTTTGACAGGCATTTGCTGGGCAGTGTGTCCTTGCAGAAGGATTTTTTGTGTAAGGTTGTGGTTTTTTCAGTCTTTTGTGATAGTTTTGTTACCAGGCAGACAGCATGAGAGCCTGCACTTCACACCCTTCCTGAGCTCTGTTTGTCAGGGTTTTTAAAACAAGTGACTCCATTTTGATTCTGACAACTTTGACGCTAATTTGTAACAACTCTTTATACAATTTACAAACTAGAAAATTTATGCACTTGATTAGAGACTGTCAGCCCCAATTTGCTCCCACCTCCTCATCTCCCCCAGCCCTAGCCACACACTTCATCCACCACTACTGCGGTGCCCCAGCGCCTCACAGCCGGCCCCACCTGCAGGCTCAGTCCCGCCTCAGACACATGTAAAGATGTAGGCTTTGGGGGCAGGAAGACCTAAGTTCAAATTCAGATCTATCACTTTCTAGGTATGTGACCTTGGGTAGTTTACTCAACCTCTCTGTGCCTTGGTTTCTTCATCTATAAATTGGGTGTAATAATACCTACCCTATAGTTACCTCATGGACAAAGCACCTGGCTTGTTTCTTCCCTTACTTTCTCTAAATTCCCAACCTTTCTGGAAGTTCTAAGCCCTTTCAGATGAAGCTTAGCACGCTACCCACAGAAGGAAGATCTAACCTGCTGGACTCCCTCTTGTTCCACAATTTCCCTCTCTCCTACCAGCCTTCTCCCACTCTGATCAGCTACCATGGCAACCTCAGCCCACTCCTGCTCCCAAAGCTTGGAGCCCCTACTCTGCTCTGCCCTGGCCAGCTCCCCAACCCCAGGGCTGGAGCCAGGCCCTCCGCATGGGGACAGATTTCTCCAACTACAGCCTGCCTACCCGCAGCCTGGACTCACCCCGTGCTCTGCACCCTGACTGGACGTGCCCGGAGCTAGTGCTGTGCCGCAGGGCTGCCCTCACTATGCCAGTTGCTGCAACCAAGGCCTTACCGTGCCTTCCCATCCTGATGGTCATTCCTTTCCTGTCTGCTGCATGCTGATGTATTAGTGAGGACGGCAAAGGTGGCTTTCCCCCTCCAGAGTCACTCGAGGAGCTGTACGTCCTTCCTGCAAAAGTGCCCCTTAGGAGCCCTCTTTGGGACTTGGCTTCAAAGCTCAGAAAACGTCCTTCCCAGCATCCTCAATCATGGTGGTTCTTCACGCATTGAGGATACATTCAATATTTTTGAAGTGTTGAACATCATTGAGAGAAGAATAAGCAGTAGCATGTTGTATTAGAGAGAACCAGGGCCCAAGTCTGAGGGGCTCCAGTCCAGGCCCACCCCTTCTCCGCTCAGAGGATCTCTCAGTGTTCTCATTTATAAAGTGGGCTTGGCCATACCACCTCGCAGGAGTGTCATGGGGATAAAACCAAAAGAGAGGGTCACAAAAATGAAATGAAATGAAATGGTAATTGCCATTATCATTAACCTCTTGGGGACTTCCCCCCGGGACTGCCAGGCTATAACCTCCAGGAGAGTTGAAACTGCTGCCATTGTATTCAGCGCCGTCTTGCTAGGGCCTCAGCCCGGTGTCTGAAGCAGAGAGAGCTTTCCATGAGCGTCTGCTGACTAGTCGGCCAGTTGAGTTCCCTGTCTTTGCAGTGAGGAGGTTGCATGTGATCATGTTAAGCCTCTTCTCTCAACAGCTGTAAAATGCTACCTACCTATACGTGGGGTGGGGGAGGTATTAACCTTTTTGGTTTTAATTAAAAATGAGACCCAACTATAAAGAAATAAGACTAGCTTTCTTGTGTCTCATATGCTAGGTGTGAAAGGCAATTCCAAAACAGGAATTCAAAAAATGTTCTCTGTAATAGCAACATCACCAGGAACACATGTATAGCTTCCCCAAGCGGCCACTTTGAAAGGATAACCCTCAGGAGATAGATGTGTTCTTGAATGTTTGAGTAAAAAGGATAAGGCTTTGCAAACTCCACAGAGACTGAATGTTCACCGGGCCCCTGGCCTGTGCCCAGCACTGCAGAATCCGTCACATTAGAAAGAAGCCTCCCTGACAAAGGTGAGGACAGAGCTGGCGACGGCACCAAATGTGGTAGGAGGGGCCTGCTCATTAGACCAAGGCAGCCACACGTCAGCAGGTGAAACAGGGCAGAGAGGAGGTTGAGCTGGGCTGGGCAGAATCTTGGATGAATTAAGCCTTCCCCTAGGGCGGGACATCCTGTCTCAAAAATGAGCCTGGATTAAATCCACTATAAAAGGTCCTCATCGTGCTGGCCTGGTACTCCACACACCGCTCAAAAATCACTTGCCTCATCCTGCCTGGGCCTTAGGTAAGTCCCCTCTTCCTCTTTCTCCTTCTCAGTGTCTTGGTGATCTGAGCTCACAAAACCAGGGCTGTCAGACATGAGCTGCAGGCTGTCAGTGCTGGCTGTGGGCCTCAGGCAAAGCAGGAGCCAGAGGACACTGGGAAAGATACTCTCCTGAAGCAACTGGCCTTTCTCCTCCTCCTCCTCTGAGGCTGGCCTGGCAGCAGCTGCTCTCACTGGGAGACTGAGCGGGCAGCAGCAGCGGAGCCACCCACATGCCTTCCTGGATCAGCAAAGGTCTCTTGCTTCTAAGGCTCTGGAAGCTTCTTAGCAGTGCTGAGAGTCTGTGAGATCAGAACCAGTTTTCTTGTGCCTGCCCAGGTAATGCAGTCAAACTGTCTCAGGAAGGAAGGGGCTTACGTGACTCCCCCTCCTACCCCAGGGTGATATTTAGGCAAGATGTTTGTAGATTTATTCTAAGGAATCTGAAGTGTAAGTAAAAGGTCATCTTATTCTTTTTCTATTTGTAAGTCAAGTGGTTAAGGTCTGCCACATGGTTTATAAAACGAAAAGGATATTTTTCATCTATGTTGAGGAACAATATTCTGAGTTTTGTACCTTGATGTACGCAAGAGAAAAAAGTCTGCCTGAAATTGTTGGCTACCAGTTCTAGAAAGGGTTCCCCCTGAACAGCCCGCCTTCGGTCTGTGACTTTCTCAATCCTTCTGTCCACATTGACCTGCTTTTCCTAGCACCCGAGTCTCCTTCCTTCCCTGACTCTCTTGCTTCTCCAACCACGTCTCCCTCTTTCTGTGCACTGCTCCTTTACACCTTCGTCGTCCCTGCCCTGGCGTCCCCGTGCTGCAGACCTCCGTCTCCCCTTGCTTTTGAACCTCGTCGTTTTTGATACCATCTCCTCCTTTTGGTCTCTCTGAGGCTTCTGCTTAATGTATCTCCGAGTCTCTGTGCCTCTTGCCCGTCCAGCCACACCCAGGCCTCACCTCAACCTACCTCCAGACTTTTGGCTAATGAAAAAGAAAATTTCCCCTTTGATTGGGAACCTACTCATAGGTCACCAGGACTCTGGACGTGACAAAGCCACTTGCCAATTGGGCAAGCTGACCTCTCTGACAGGTGCCAGGGCTGGGAACAGAGGTCGCATGCAGGGAAACTTGGACGGTCACAATTGGAAGGCACCCGCTCCTCAGCATCCCCAACAGGGGTAGCCCAGCCTACTTCTGAACATCTTTCCAAAGGAAACAAGAAAGGACAGAGTTGGGCCCCTGGAACTCCTGCCTGGCTCCACCCAGGACAGAGGTTGACTGACATGTGTTCCTTACTGCCTATTGGAGCTCCTAGCAGGACCCTAACACCCTGTGATAGGCAAATGAACCCTGTCCACAAGGTACATTCTAGAAAGCCCATTGCATCTGAGTTAAGGAGAGATAGGTTCTAGGAAGTCTTGATCCCTTCAAAGCTGTGTGACCTAACTTCTCTGAACCTGTTTCCTCCACCTGTAAAAGAGTGAAGATAATAAGGATTACAAGAGCTGATGCACAGGCAAGTGCTTTGTGAGCAATAGAGTGTATGCAGATGTACACAATTTATGTGTATGTATATGTGTGTAATAGCATAATAATGATATTTAATAGCTATCCCTGAGTATAAGCCAGGCACCTGCCAAGGGCTTTCTATGAGTTATCTCTTTAAATATTCACAATAGTCCTATAAATTATTAATATCACTTTCATTCATAATGAGTTAAACTGAGGCACAATGAGTAAACTCAGGCATGGAGTAAACTTGGCCTAGCTCACATGATGGGTGGGTGGTATGGCCAGCATTTAAATCCCAACTCAGGATCCTGCCTCCCACCACTGAGTGCTCCTCCTCCCACACATAAAATACAACACGTAGGAAAGGACAAAGGAAGACAGACCGAAAGCAGAGCTGAACGTGCAAGGAAAGACCTAGAAGCCAAAGTGCTCAGGAGGAAACAGCTGAGGTTGATTATAGGGCCCCCAAGGGGGCTTTTCATCTTTTCCAGCTTGACATCAAAAATGCCTCAGTTACTGCGAAACATTAACGGGATCATCGAGGCCTTTGGACGCTACGCCAGGACAGAGGGCGACTGTGCAGTGCTCACCCGCGGGGAGCTGAAAAAACTCTTGGAGCATGAGTTCGCCGACGTGATCGTGGTATGATGCGCTGCGCCAGGTGGGGAGGGATGTGTTGGGAGAGTGACCGCGGCGTGCGTGCCTGCTGGGGCTTTGTCTGGGGAATTCGAGAAGGCAGCGGCAGAATCCAGGCCTGCTGCTACAGATGGCAGCCGCGCAGGCCGAAAAAGAGAGCAAGAGAACAAGAGATAATCAGGAATTGACAGGCCCTGATCCTTAGAGAAAATACCTTGGTTTTAATGAATTCTAATTTGAAGGCAAGGTGAAAGGACTCTAAAGGGACAGCTCAGGGAGGAGCAGAGCCTTGGAATGTTCTAGAAATGAAAATAATTGCTGCTTCTTAAATTTGGTACAGTATACATTTCCCATGTCTATCTGAAATTTGATCATCCATTAATAAGTGTTCATTGGAAGCATAGCTCTGTGCCTTGCACAAAAACATTAGCTAACCAATCACATCAGAAATGAGGTTGTTAACAGCGGCGAGCGGGGGGAGGGGGACTCTGGGAGCCACACCCCACCCACTCCTGGCAAAGCAGAACCAGGGCCCTGATGCACTTTCCTGCCTTTGGTTTGCATCGAAAACTACCAGGATAATGAAGGCCTTGGGGACGAGGATGAGTGGGCACAGCAGGACGCTGCCTCTGCATGCTCAGGGCAGCCCTCCTGTCCCACTGCACCCCACCCACTCTCTCTTGGGAAAACATCTGAGCCTCATCGAAGAGCTCACAGAATTCCCATGGGGCCTCTCCCACTGTGCTTTTCCTCGTGCTGGGCTTGCTGAAGAGAACACAGCCTCAATGCCAGGGGACAAACGGCCAAGAACAGATCAAAGAATCAACCCTAGAGCCCAGACAGTTGCATTGTGAGTGCAATCATTTATTCATTCTTCAAAAAATCTTTATCCAATTGTCCTGTAGGCCAGAAACTGTACCAGACATAGAGGATAAAAAAGATATTCCTACCCTTGAGGGAGAGAGATAGGACTAAAATAAGTAAATAAATAAACAAAGGCAGCGAAGTGTCAGTGCTGCTACAGCGGTGTGTGTGGAGTGCGGTGGGGCCCGGGGGGTGCAGAGCCTGGAACTGGCCTAACCACGCCCTCCTCAGCACAGGGACACTGACTCGGCCTCGTCTTCTCCCCAGAGACCCCACGACCCGGCAACTGTGGATGAAGTCCTGCGCCTGCTGGATGAAGATGGCACGGGGACTGTGGATTTCAAGGAATTCCTGGTCCTGACATTTAAAGTTGCCCAGGCATGTTTCAAGACCCTGAGCGAGAGTCCCGAAGGAGCTTGTGGCTCTCAAGCATCTGGAAGCCTTGACCCTGGGGCCTCACAAGAGCCAGGAGGGAGACAGACAGCTGGCACCGAAGTGGGAGGGTCCGGGAAAGGGCAGCATCACAAGGGGAACGACCACGGGCACAGCGAGCAGGCATCCGGAGGGCAGGGCAGGAATGGGACTCACACCCAAGGTCAGGACATCAGCTGTGCGTGGGTCAGTAGCTACGACAGGCAAGCTGAGTCCCAGAGACAGGAGAGAACGAGCCAGCAGACACAAGCGCCTGGGCATGGGGGGCAGACGCAGGAAGTAGTAGAAAGCAAGAGTCATCAGACCAGAGAGACAAGGTCAGAGAGACAGTCACAGACCAGGGAGCAGGACAGAGCACACCAGACAGGTGAGATCGTGACTGGAGCTGGAACTCAGACTCAGATAGGTATCACCCAGACTGTGGAGCAGGACAGGGACCATCAGAAAGGAAGCACCAGCACCCAGACACAGC